CTTCCTTCCTTCCTTCCTTCCTTCCTTCCTTCCTTTTCTTTCTTTCTTAAAGATTTATTTTATTTATTATGTATACAGTGTTCTGCCTGCATGTATCCCTTCAGGCCAGAAGGGGGCACCAGATATCATTACAGATGGTTGTGAGCCACCATGTGGTTGCTGGGAATTGAAATCCGGACCTCTAGGAAGAATAGTCAGTGCTCTTAACCTCTGAGCCATCATCTCTCCAGCCCAGATAGGTGATTTTCTTAACTGAAGTTCCCTCTCAGATGACTCTAGCTTGCATGAAGTTGCCAAAACAATGCAACCCTAACCAACACATGCATCTTCTTCTGTCTTTCACCATTCTATTTTTTTGTAACAGGGTCTGTCTCATTGAATCTGGAGCTATTTTTACTAGAATGGCAGGCCAGTGAGCCCAAGGGTTCCATTTGCCTCCACCTTCCTCTCTCATCTCAGGCTTATAGAAATGAGCTCTGCCCCTGGTTTTAGTTCATTCTACAATCTTTTATATATTTGAGATTTACCTCTTGGCAATCTGGAGCTAAATTACTGTGATTGCTGTAAATTACTTCCTTTCTTGGTTTTTCTTCCTCTTTTTAACTTCCCCATTTTTACTTACTGTTTTATGAATCTAAAATGTCCCCACTGGACGGTAGCTTTTTCTTTTCTTTTTGGTTTTTTGAGACAGGGTAGAGATCTCTGTGTAGTCTTGGCTGTCCTGGAACTCGCTCTGTAGATCAGGCTGGCCTCGAACTCAGAGATCGCCCTGCCTCTGCCTTCCGAGTGCTGGGATTAAAGGTGTGAGCCACCACTGCCCGCTTTTTCATCAAGCCAACTGTCTCCTCTCTGGATGTCTGACCCTCCCCCACCATTTTTTTGTGATGGTGTGGACTGAACTTGCATTCTCCTGAGTATCTGGAATCACAAGCATGAGGCACCAGGCTCAGTTTGAAACTTCTCTAAGGATCTTCCAGACAGCGCCTCCGTTGTCAGAGGACAATTTGAGGAGTTAGCTCTCCCCTTCAAGCGTGTGAGCTCTGGGGATGGAAAGCTGGGCTTCAGGCTGGACTGCAAGTGTCCTTACTGGCTGAGACATCTTGCCAGTTCCTTATTTTGTTTTCTTAGTAGCTTCTTTTCCTTATAAAGACGATGTTTGTTTTCAAATTTGCAGAGGAATGTAATATTTAATTTAAAAAAGATGACTCATATGACCTTATAAAGACAGTAAAATCCAACAATCGAAAAGATAAAGCGGGGCAGTTGGCTCAGCCCTTTAAAACCGGCCCACAAGGATTATCATTATTTGAGGCTAGCCCAGGCTACAATGCAAGTTATACACACTGAGATTCTCAGGAGTCCAAATAAACAACAAAAGGGGCGGGGTGGAAATACAGGGGCTCTAGGAATATGACATCGGCATGCGAGGCCAGTCTGGGGCAAGGAAAACTTCCTTCCGTGGTCCAGTCCTCCAAGGGCCGAACAGGAAGTTGACGCAGGCAGGTGGAGAGAGGCGTGGGGAGCGCAGGCCTGGCTGCCAGGCTGTGCCACCCAGAACCCTCCGCAATATGCCTGTCCCCACTCACTCTCAACTTTCCTCCAACTGACTCTTTGCGGTGCAGATCCTCAAGACCCGCGCTGCGGGACTGGAAACAACCTTTACTGCGACGAAGGGAACTTCGTGTAGCTACCTGCAGCATGCACCTAGCAGGGATGCGCCCAGAGCCTCCTCCGCTCTCTGCTCCTTCCCGACCCTGCGGCCCCGCCCTTCCCTGGCCTCACGCCATTAAGCCCCGCCCTTTCTTTGCACTGCATTCCCGAGTCCTGAGGCCACGCCCCTCTCAGCGCTAGTTCTCGGAGGCCTCCCCTTCCTAGGCCGCCCTGCCCCTCGTCCAGGGACCCCGCTCTTCTCAGCTCTCGCGCCCCGCGACCCCATCACACGCCTTGAGGCCTCGCCTCTCCGTTCCTTCGCTCCTAAGACCCCGAGCCCTTCCAAGTCCGCCCCGCCCTCCTCCCTTGGGCTCCTCCCCTCTCAGCCCTCGCTCCTCAAAGCCCCTCCCCTTAGGTTGCCCCGCCTCTTGCCCATGAAGAACCCGCCCTGTCTCCTTCCGCCCCGCCCCTCTCCCTCGAAGCCCCGCCCTCGACCCCGCCTCCCGCCCCCTTGGGCGCTCCGTAGCAGTGACGTGCACTGCAGGCTGGGCACTCAGCAGGGCTCTGGCCGGCGGGAGGAGAGCGATCCGGGAGCCGTCCCAGCAGGAAGCGAGTCCCGGCGGCCGTCGTCTCCGGTGCTCGCTCTCGGCCGCGGCGTCGCGCTCTCCCCTCGCGCCTGCAGTCCGGCAGCCTCTCCGTGGCCGCGACCCCTCGCGCACCTGCCTCGCCGGGTGAGTGTGGGCTTGCCCGCCCCCCCTGTCCTCGCAGCTTGGCCTCTGCTCCGCCGGCCGCGCGCGGACCGGAGCGCTGGCTTCCCTTTCCCGGGCCGGCGGGGCGCCTGTCATCTGACGCGGCTGCGTCCCCGGTCCCAGGAGTCCCACCCGACATTGCGGGATGGTTTTATTTTCTCCTTTGGAAGCACACTGAAAATTCTACACAGACTAGTTTGTTGTCAGAAGTGACGATCAAGTGAGACCATTAATAATTTAGCCCTGTCGAAGACCATAGTGGCATTCTACAGAGCTGGAATTTTAGTTCCTGAGCGGTCTAGGATCTTGAGTGTGAGTTTTACGGATGTGTTGCTGAAAAAAAAAAAAAGTAATTCCAAAACACCTTAAACTAATTTAAACATGCTTGTATTTTTAAATAGGAAATAATTTGATAAGGCTATTGTTAGATTATCTATGTCAGGAGTATTTACACAGAGTTACATTTTATCTAGCAAAAAAGTATGTAGGGCAGGGCTGTTTAAATCCTAATGTGGAGATATTGTTGGGGAGCTACACAAACGCTGCTCCGATTTCATATGAGCTGAATAAAAGTTTGGTTTGCTCTCTTGGTACAGTTGTAGGATGTTCGAATATAGTCAGCTTAAGACTTTTAACAGCGCTTGAGGCTCAGCTGTAACTATCTGCACACCATAAAATGTGAGTCTTGATGGTGGTCATGGTACAAAGGTTGGCCGCCGAACAGCAGCATTTCTGTACAAATTAACTCAACTTCAAGACGTCTTGGCTTGTGGTTTTCCAACTGGGAAATGTTTAGTGAAAAAAAGTTACCTTAGTGCCCTCTAGCATTAATTTTAGAAATAGCCACAAATGTTACAAGGGGGCCAGAGGAAGAGCCAGAAACAATGCAGCTCTTCAGAATAGCTCATTGACTTTTAAATGTCCGCTCAGTTTTGGTGTTTTCCGTTGCGCAGGAGTAAACATGCACAGTGTAAAAAGCAAGACATTTTAGTCTGATGCTCATCTGCCCATAGTGTTTTTATTTTGTGTGCGTGTGATCTGTTACCTATTTTTTCTCTTCTTTTCAAGTTATGTATTTGTTTTCAAAAGATAATTGTAAATGACAGGGACCCAATGCTACCATTAAGAAAAGATTATTGTGATTAAATGTATAGTTAAAAAGCTATGTAGTATAGAATATATATATGCCCTTTATCACCTAGAGTAAAAAAAACTGAACAACTATGATATTTAATGGAAACTACAAGATATTAAAAACAAAGATAGTAAATTATAGTCCATAGAAGCTTATCTGAAAGGGATTTTCCCCTGTTTATGTGACCAAGTTTTAAAATAACAGTGGCCAGGAAATCTGAGAGAGGCCAAAGGCTCTTCTCTCATCCTGTTGTGACTTTGCCTGGAGTCTGTGGTGGATCATTTATTGTTTAGACAACTGGTCTGTATCTGGGTTCTGAAAGGCACTCACCTTTAAACAGTCTTAAAGATTTCCACCATGCAAGCTCTGAATAAATATATACACACTCCACATCAAAAAAATTCACTAGTTTTTAACTTTCTTTTGATACTTAAAGCTTCACTTAGCATACATAAAGTGTCAGTTTAAAAAAGTCGGGTTTGGAGCCGGGCAGTGATGGTGCTTGCCTTTAATTCCAGCACTCAGGAGTTAAGAGGCAGGCAGATCTCTAAGTTCAAGGCCAGCCTGGTCTACTATGTGAGTTCCAGGACAGCCAGAACTACACACAGAGAAACCCTGTTTTGAAAAACCCAACAACAACAACAACAACAACAAAAGTCAGGGTTCAGAGTGAGTATAATTCAGTGGGTAGAGCCCTTGCCTAGTATATGTGAGGCCCTGGGTACTTAAGTTTCCATTTTTCTGTATTAAAACATCTTATCTAAACATAAAAGATTGATAAAACTATTACAATTTGACTAAGTCTCACACAATATAATGAGGATTTCCAGAAAGAGATACTTGGTGACAGTTTATGAACTGTCAATTTAGTACCAGTGTGACACACGCACACACAAGCTGAAGGTTTGCTTTACAAAATAATTTTCCAGGTTGATTGTCTTGTTCTTTTATAGAGGAGAAAAACAGGCTGGGAGAAGTAGATGCTTGCAAGTGGCTTTGGCGAGGCAAAGTCCAGCCTCTGAACACACAAGGGGGTCTGCTGACAGTGAAGTCCCCTGCCCCGTCTCACCAGAAGTTATCTTGGATTTCTGTTCACTTGGTGAACTATTGAGAGACCTTTGTAGAACTGGTCTGGAGATTTCAAGGCGGTGATAGGCCAAGCACGGAGTCTGGAACTAATTGAAAATTCTGAGTCGTCTTTCTCAAGGCTTTGAGCAGTGACCCGATGCTGCGGCGGCATTTCTGGTGTAGTTCCAGCATGTAATAAGTATTATGTGCTTTTTCATTTTGATGGGCTTATAGGAATTAACGCTGCGATCTAATCCTGGATTGATTTCATTATAGCTGAGCAGTATATGATGTTTCTGTTCAGGATAGAACTTCAGTTTTTTGTTTTTTTCTTCATGTGAGCTAGATTGTTGCTCCCAAACACAGTAGGTCTCTCTTCAGTGTTATTCAGTTAACTCTAGTCTTGGGGAAACATGCTTCAGGACTGAGATATCTAGGCCTGTGAGCTGGCTCAGCAGGTCAAAGCACTTGTCTAGAGCCCTGATGCCCTGAGTTTGAGCTCATGAGAAACAACGTCTGTGCATTGTCCCCTGACTTCCACACACATGCTCTGTCACATAGCCATAAGCAAATAATTGTAATTTAAGAAATGAAAAAAAAAAAGATTAAGACGTCCCTCCGACTTCCACCTCCTGAGCGTTGCGGTCACAGGCTTGCAGCTGTGCCCGTGTGTTTGTGGTGCTGGGCTCAGACCTACTTCAAAGCTAGGCAGGCAGTTCATCAGGGAAACTACATCTTTAGTCAGTCCGTCTATCTATCTATCTATCTATCTATCTATCTATCTATCTATCTATCTATCTATCTATCTATCTATCTATCTATCTATCTATTGTTGTGTGTATATCATTTGTGTGTGCACACATGTGGCATACTTGTGGAGGTCAGAGGACAGTTTTGTGTAGTCAGTTTCTGTCAAACTCAGGTCATGATGTTTGCATGGCAAGTGTTTTTTTTTTTTAACCTGCTGAGGTATCTTGCTACGCTCTCCCCCTGTGTTCTGAGGTAGGGTCTCACTATGTAGCCCTGACTGGTCTGGGCTATATAGTGTAGACCTCTAACCCACAGGGATACACTTATCTCTGCCTCCTGAGTGCTGGAACCAAAGGTGTATACCATCACACCTAGCTTATACAATCAGTGTCTTTTGATCAAAATGATTTATGTTTTTTTTTAGAGAAAATTTATTATTTATTTGTGTGTGTGTGTGTGTGTGTGTGTGTGTGAGTGTGTGTGTGTGTGAATGTATACACACATAAATATAGATGCTTGTAGAGGCCAGAAGAGGGTATCATACCACAGGACCTGGAGCTAGAGGTGGTTGTGAGCTGCTTGACTTGGGTACTAGGAACCAAACTTGGGTCCTCTGGAACAGCAGCAAGTGCTTTTAACCTGTGAGCCATCTCTCTAGCTCCCCAAATCTTATCTTATCTTTTCCCCTCCCTCCCTCCTTCCTTCCCTCCCTCCTTCCTAACTTCCTTCCTTCCTTCCTTCCTTCCCTCTCTCCCTCCCTCCCTCC